AAAGTAGAAAAAAATTATTTAAAAATGTCATACTACTAACTAAAAATAAGTGAAGAAAATCATCATTATTAGACGTTCACTTATCTCTCTCTTGTGGTTCTTTGCTGCCACTACACGCTGGTTCAAGGTTTATTCAATTTAATACCAAATTTGGACTTCAGAATACTTTTAAACAAAAGCTATTCATATCAAAACGGTGTTTAGAGGTCATTTAGACAAAAATTTTAAAAGTAGAAAAAAATTATTTAAAAATGTCATACTTTAATCTAAAAAAATGTGGAAAAAACGCTCAAACGATTCAGGAAAATCACTAAAAAAGTACAGACAATAAGACACACTGACAGAACTGATGTTTAAACTGTAATTCAATAAACAGTGACAAAGCATGCAAAGGAAAAATAAATAAATTGGCTCAGGAAAAGAAAACACACTGACCTCTGGGCACAATTTATGGACGTATTCCAATCTGTCATACAGCTCTGAAACAATTAACTGCACAATGTTATTTTATTCTAAATTCCAAGCAAAAATTCAGTATTTATTTGCATAAAAAGAGAAATGGTCAAAATAACGACAAATTGCAGTGCTTTCAGACTTAAAAAAAGAGGCACAAAACAACTCCACATTCATTTAGAAACAATGCTAATGTTCAAACTCAGAGTTCAAAAATCATTTAACATTTGGTGGAACAACTTTCCATACAGGCCTTAATAATTCTCTTAAAATTATTGGTAAACATTTAACAGGGCTTTGTGATAAGTGTAACTCACCAGAAACAGTTCAGCATGTATTTATGGAATGTAATGCTTATGATTCAGAAAGGAAACAATTTAAAATAGAAATGAATAACATGCATATTGAATTTGTAATTGATGAAATTTTTGCAAGTAATGTCAGTAAAATAAAAGGTCCAATTCTAGCATAAAAAACAATGTTAGATAGAAAATAGTTTTTTTTTTCCTGTTTATTGCCTGTCCACACTCCAGTCCAGTTGGTGGCGGTAATGCACCATCACAGTTGGTTTGCCAACCGCCAACAAGAAGAAGAAGAAGGCTCGCTCGAGCTAGCTGGTTAGCATGCGAGTTACAAACGAAAATAGATACGATTTAACAAATTTTGTAATTATCGGGACAGTTTGTTTTATGTAGTGCTTCGGTTTGGTTAGCTTTTTGTGTGGTTCCACATAGGTCCATCGGCTTGTGTTTGAACCATGTCATCCGAATTTTGTGCTTTTAGAGTTAAAAATTAGTCGGCTAAGTTGTTGGAGCTAACGTTAGCCGGTGTTGTTCCAGTTGGTGTCAACGTTAGGTGCCTCTCGCTAAACAGACAACACGGCGGCGTAACATGAAGTTATGGAAGAGAGAAGGCTAAAGAGAAAGAGTACGAAGACCTCCACCAACACAGCGGCTCCGACGGGAGGCTCCGGCCGGAAGAGCAGCGCTTCCTCCGGGGGACGGCATATCGGCTTCAGCCACAGCACGGCCACTGGTTCCAGCCAAAAGAACAGGAGCAGGCGGTGAGCAGCCTAATATCATGCTAACCACGCACTACAAACCCGGATTGTTCTGAGAGTTTTTGGTGTTCTTCTTTTGCAGGGGAATCAAGGATAAGCCCAAATATCAGCCAGGTTTGGGTGGTAAAGCTGCACAGAACCAGAGCCAGGCAGCTCCTACCATCCAACACTCGTTTCTGACTGATGTGTCAGATGTGCAGGAGATGGAGAATGGCCTTCTCAGTCTTCTCAACGACTTCCATTCAGGGAAACTACAGGCGTTTGGTAATTTTGAACTCTTTACAGCACACTTCCTATTCATTTGTTTCAATTGTTTCATCTGATCCGCTATTGTAATCTAGTATCCAGTGTTTTTAGTTGTTATAAAGAAAAGGTTTTTATAAAAAGTTCTATCAAACTCAAAATAATTAGCATGTTTGCACACACATTGATGTGAAATGCTCTTGTTTTGTTTGTTTCAGGCAATGAATGCTCCATTGACCAGATGGAGCACGTAAGAGAGATGCAGGAGAAGCTGGCACGCTTGCACTTTGACCTCTATGGTGAGGTTGACGAAATGCCCAAGGATCAGAGGAAAACAGCCTGTGACACCAACATGGACAAGTTGCTACTTAATGTAAGTCTGTTCGATTTAAACTACTGGAAATGTTAAAGGTACTCATTACAAACTCATGAAGGCCAGTTAAAAAAACTTTATATTTTTCTCAAATTGATCAGAAACAACATTTGTTTCTGTTTTTTTTTTTAAATTTATGACAGGTCATCTTATTCACTCTTTATTTTTTGACATTTAGCAGTAGATTCACCTTTATATTTCCAATCCTATGTACAGTGGGTAAAATAAGTATTGAACACGTCACCATTTTTCTCAGTAAATATATTACTAGAGGTGCTAATGACATGAAATTTTCACCAGATGTYGGTAACAACCCAAGTGATCCATWCATACAAAGAAAKCAAACCATAAATGTCCAGAAATGAAGTTATTTGTAATAATGTGGAATGGCACAGGGAAAAAGTATTGAACACATGAAGAAAGGGAGGTGTAAAAAGGCATGGAAAGCCAAGACACCAGCTGAACTCTCTCAGTAATTAGAAAGCAAGCCTGCCCCTTGTCAGTGCAAGTTAATATCAGCTGGTTCAGTCCCAAATGATGACCAGGTATCACACAAGAACCATCTGATGATGGTAAAAGTAAAGAGCTCTCTCAAGACCTTCACAACCTTATTGTTGCAAAGCATAATGATGGCATCGGTTACAGAAGAATGTCTAAACTTCTGAAGGTTCCAGTGAGCACTGTTGGGGCCATAATTCAGAAGTGGAAAGAACATTATTTCACCATAAACCGACCACGACCAGGTGCTCCTCACAAGATTTCTGACAGAGGAGTGAAAAGAATGATCAGAAGAGTTGTTCAAGAGCCAAGGACCACTTGTGGAGAGCTTCAGAAAGACCTGGAATTAGCAGGTACGATTGTTTCAAAGAAAACAATAAGTAATGCACTGAACCACCATGGCCTGTATGCACGCTCACCACGCAAGACTCCACTGCTGAAGAAACAGCATGTTGAAGCTCTTTTAAAGTTTGCTGCACAACATTTAAACAAGCCTGTGTAATACTGGGAGAATATAGTCTGGTCAGATGAGACCAACATTGAACTGTTTGGATGCCAGAATACACATCATGTTTGGAGGTCAAATGGCACTGCACATCAGCCCAAAAACACCATACCAACAGTGAAGTTTGGAGGTGGGAACATCATGGTGTGGGGCTGTTTTTCAGCATATGGTACTGGCAAACTTCAAATAATTGAAGGAAGGATGAGTGGAAAAATGTACAGAGACATTCTTGATAAAAATCTGCTTCCATCTACCAGGATGATGAAGATGAAACGTGGCTGGACATTTCAGCAAGACAATGAGCCCAAACACAAAGCCAAGGAAACTCTCAGTTGGTTTCAGAGAAAGAAACTAAAGCTGCTGGAATGGCCCAGCCAATCACCTGACCTGAATCCAACAGAAAATCTATGGAAAGAACTAAAGATCAGAGTTCATAGAAGAGGTCCACGAAACCTTCAAGATTTGAAGACTGTTTGTGTGGAAGAATGGGCCAAAATCACACCTGAGCAATGCATGCCACTAGTTTCTCCATACAGGAGGCGTCTTGAAGCTGTCATTGACAACAAAGGCTTTTGTACAAAGTATTAGATAAATTTCAGTAAGCCTGTTCAATACTTTTTCCCTGTGCCATTCCACATTATTACAAATAACTTCATTTCTGGACATTTATGGTTTGATTTCTTTGTATGTATGGATCACTTGGGTTGTTACCAACATCTGGTAAAAATTTCATGTCATTAGCACCTCTAGTAATATATTTACTGAGAAAAATGTTGACGTGTTCAATACTTATTTTACCCGCTGTATATAGTACTGGGCGATTAAATGATAATGATAAATCTCGTGATAAACACGTGATCGAAATTAATAGAAAATATGTTTGAAAGAACGTTGATAATTTAATTTATGGACATTTATGAAATATGTGTAGGGAAATACATATTACGGACAGACAACACACAACACACAATGACATGTACTGCAGCTGTAACATCACTACTCACCTCCTCTGTCCAAGCAGGTGGAATTGATTCTTTATTTGTCTTCCTCTGGCTTCATAAAATAACTGCGGTCACCCCCATGTTTACAAGAGTTTAGGAAACTTACGAAGGGTGGTGGTGGGGTGTTACTGATCCGAAACAACAAGCATCATCAGGTACTGAAGCTAACCAGCAGCTAAAGCTCAGCTTAGCAAGTTTGCTGGTATCAAACTCACTCTTTGGTGAGCTAGCAACAAGCTGTCATATAGCAGCAGCAGTTTCATATTTCATCACCATGCCTCATAGCTGCTTAAAAATAAAAAAAGAACAACATGACAGGATAACATGAGTGCAACAGCTCAAGAGGAAGTTGTAGATAAAGCCAGACAAAATAGAAAAAGTCTCGTCACCGTCAACTTTTTTCTCCTGGTCTTTATTTCAAACAGGTAAAACAAGAAACTAATCAATAATTATCAATATTGACCCATATGAAACACTTCTATTGTGATAAATCTTTCAGCCCTACACATATATACACCAACAGTCTTCTGCTTATTACAGTTTAAGAACCCTAACCTGACTCTAACTTGTATTTTTTCACATCAGCTGTATGTTCGAGGCTCACTTATCTGTCTGCATTTCTTTGTGTCTCATCACCATGGTAGTCAGCAGGGTAATTTAGAGAAGTATAACCATGAGTCACTGGTGCAGCTTTAACATTTTTTGTTTTTGTTTCTTATAGAGTTTTTCCATTAAAATGTCAGCGTTTTCATTATTACAAATTTGTGGTTGAATGTTGGACCTTAGCTGGGTTCAGCACCTTTCTAAATTTCTTCAGAAAAGTTCTAGTTATCAGTTAATAAACCTGTGCTAACGTTTTGTTGTTTCTTTTCTCTACAGCTTGAGGAGCTGAGTTCTTCGATGTATCCTTTTGAAATGCAATAATCCACACATTATGGTTCTTTTCTGTAAGGAACTTAAAAAAAGTCAAATTGTTTTTTATGTGCAGACTTTTGTTTACTTTCCTCTGTATGTGCTTTAAAATCAGAAATATCTTCCTTGTATTGTCCTTGACCTCCGCTTCTCCAGTCAGAAGCTGAATCTAGCCGACACTCAAGAAATCCAGAGGACTTCCAGTGTGTGATGTTTTTCTTTTTCTTCTTTCTTTTTGCTTCTTCTCTTTTTTTAAATTTATTTTAACCACTTGGAACCTGTGTAACAGATGAGTTAAAACAAGTTTATAGGCACTTCTTTTGCTGCATTTTAACAGAAACAAGAGTGAATCTGATCAGATATTTTACATATGTTCACCAGCTGCTAAAAGCAAAGTACTTCTAAAGATATTTTACTAATAAACAAGATGTCATTCTGTAATTCAGCTAAAAGAAGTTACAACAAATTGTTTTTGTTTTAGAAGTTTTCTGTGGTTGGAAGGAGGTTTAGTACAGGTTCTTCTAAAAAAATTAGCATATTGTGATAAAGTTCATTATTTTCTGTAAWGTACTAATAAATATTAAACTTTCATATAGTTTAGATTCATTGCACACCAATTGAAGTAGTTCAAACCTTTTATTGTTTTAATATTGATGATTTTGGCAAAAAAGTAAAGAAAAATCAAAAATCCCTATCTCAAAAAATTTGCATATTTCATCCGACCAATAAAAGAAAAGTGTTTTTAATACAAAAAAAGTCTACCTTCAAATAATTATGTTCAGTTCTGCACTCAATACTTGTTGGGGAATCATTTTGC